CAGAGTCCTTCTGAATAATTGTTTTAACAGAATGGATTAGTTTGGTGAGCATGAAGTCCTTCCTCCTTACACATCAGTGCATAACAGGTGGAGCAATCCCACCACAATATTTAGAGCAGCCAGGCTACATGGAATTCTAAGCTTCTGGGGCTGTGTTATAACATGTCTTCCCAGCTTAGGCTTTAGTGGCCAGTTCTGCCTTGGCCTGCTGAGACATGCCAAGACTTGTGATTTATTGTCAGGCCATGAGGAAATAATAGTACCTTGCATTTCCACCACTCGTTTCTTAGAACTCGTCCCTCTGAGTGGCCCAAGAAATTCTTTGCTCTGGTGATTCCTGGATCTGAGCTGCTTGCATTCTGCTATTTTAAGCACTGACAGAACTGGAGTGTTCACAGGCAGCAGTGGTGGCAGAAGTGCTGCACAGTACCTCATGCCTCTGGAGCCTGGCTGTGTTTCCCTTGGTTATATCCTCTGTCTGGAGCACATAGTCAAGTGCCTGGTCCAGTGCCTCCCCCAGGTCTGACAGCTTCACGTCCTGCTCGCTGAGCTGCTCCAGCACATCAGATACCAGAGCCCTGGTGTCATTGTACCTCTCATGAAACTCTTCAACCTGCTGGAGCACTGGGAGAAAAATCACAGGCCACAGTTTAGTCCAAAGCTTGGGTTTCTGACAGACTCACCTGTGCAGCAGCTCCTGCTGCTGTTACTCAGAGGAAAGCAGAACACTTTTGCTAGAAGCTCACTGGAAAGATCACACACATGGATTTTAATTTTACCTCTTTTGGACAGGAAAGCTGCCTCTCAATTTAGTATCTTATTTTAATCCCATTAGTTCCCACCTCAAGTAGCTTTCCCTAAAAGAAACCAGGCTTGGCTTTCCTGGCTCTTCACTTGTTTGTTGCTGGGGCACCTGGAGAGGACACCCCCTGTCCTGGGCTCTGGCTCAGGCTCCCCGAGCTGGGACCCTTCCCCATGCCAGCAGCTCCCCTCTCTGCTGGAGGGCACTGCCTGGCAGGGGGAAAGGGAGATGCTCCCCTGGGCAGCTCCTGCCCTGGCACCTTCCCCAGCAGCTGCTGCCCAGGTGCTGCAGCACAAGGACACACAGACACACAGGGATTTTCCTGCCCGTTCTGCCCCGGGGGCAACAAGCAGGAGCAGGGACTCGGGGCAGGCACCAGTTGATGCTTCCAAGCACCTGCTGCTCCTCCCCAGGGGCTGACCCAGCACATCCAGAGCTGCCAGGGCCCGCGCCAGCACCTGGGGGAGCGGAAAACACTCACAGGTATCTTCAAACCTCCAAACTCACACTGCCCTGACATGCCTTCCTCCTTGTCTGCCACCTGCCGCTGGGGAGTGAAGGGCTGGCGGCCTTGGATGTACCTCAGCAT